TATATAAACTTTGATAACTCAATACAGTTTACATACATTTATCAACCTAAAATGATGTGTCAAGGAGGAAAAGCAGATATTTTAAGTCGTGAAATTTTTTTTAACTACGAACAGTTCTTTGCCCACTGCAACTTGGTTCCTATTGTTTTGTTGCAAGGAGCCAATCAGAAGATTTGGATTGTCTGCAAACATCACATCTCCAATTTTACAGATATTTTGAATTTGACATGTCTATATCTGAGCGTTATTTAACATACTCCACTGCTTTTCATTGTGAGAGACCTTTGTTTAAATTTTTTTTTATTATAAATAGGCATAAACTTTCTCTAGCAGCAAAATATTTAATGAACTGGATTGATTTTCTATCAATCTTCTTGTGAAATCAATTCAACTGGAGATTAACTGCTATTAACCAACCCAAAAATCCAAAATGTTGGCATGTGGAAGTTTTTTTTTTTTTTTTGATCAGCAAAAAACATTTGACTCACATTCCCCTTCTTGTGTCAAGTCATCAAATATTAAAGTTTGTTCTGAGAAGAGAGTGCAATCTGTTTAAGGATAAGCTAAATAGCTTCGGGCAGTTTTACCCATGTTTATTTTAGCTGTAAGTGTGAAGTATGCCAAATTGACAGGCTGCATCTCCCATGCACATTTTCTACCTAGAACAATGTGATGGCAAATGGACTGAGACATATTTTTTACGACCTCGGTGGTTGGTGATTGATATGTGATGAGATCCAGCGTGTGAGAGCGAAGTTTGGCGGGGTAGCCGTTTGCACGTGGATGTGTGTGTGTGTGTGTAACAAAGAAAGCTTGCGTATGGGAATTGTCTTCTCGAGTTGACTGCACGGAGGAGTGTTGTCAGAGAGGTGGTTGTGTACAGTCAGCAGACCTTGAGCCAGAGCCATGCCACTTTCAATCAGCAGCCTGTCTGTTTCCACAACCATCTATACCCTGGTAGCCACAGATGAGAGGCCACCGTCAAGGGCTAGAGAGAAAAGTGGCAGTCATTGAGATATATTTACTGAAACGGGGGAAAGCACAGAGTTGCAGGAAACGTGAAAGAAAAAATAACACAGCCATGAAGAAAAGAAGGGAAAGACTTTTGAAATCCAAGTGGATCAGTAACCTCAGGCACCAACTATTTTATATTCTATCATCATTGCTACAGCTTGATGCAAAAAAATCCCTTTTACTGAATGCCACATGCTTCCATCTGTCCCTGATTTTCCGCTGTTTTCTCTCTCTCCGTAGAAAACCCCAGGGAGTCTTGCTTCGAACCCGGTCTGGTGCGTAACGGCACCCGGGTGGGCATGGACCTCAAGCTGGGCTCCACCGTCACTTACCACTGCGATAGTGGCTACACGCTGGAGGGAGACGCAACACTCACTTGCATCATGGGGGGAGATGGCAAGCCGAGCTGGAACAAACCCAAACCCATCTGCATTGGTAAACACTGACATCTGGAGTCGATACTTAGGAGCACAAACCACATCAGTGCTTCTACATTTATCACATGTAAACATCCATATATAATTATTCTGCCTCTCTACAGAGATGTGTCCTGCAGGTATGCATATTTCTAGAGCTATGTGGGTATTTTTTTTTCTTTTTTGCTAAGATCTCTGAGCGTAGCTTTAATTTAATCTTCAGTTTGGAAGAAGCAGCTTACTTTGCATATCTTCCTCTCGCACTCGCAGCAACTCCTGCGTCACTCTGAATCAGTTCTGATATTCCTTATGACACAACCACCGCATGCTGCGCATAAACCCCTGGAACGCTGGCAAAGGGTACCTGACAGCACATACTCTGGCTCTGACTGTGTGTGTCAGGTGGAAGACATGTTCATTGTTCACAGGCGTAAAACGCCAACACCTGGGTTCAGCAGTTGCACAAAGATACGAGCCTGCGCCAAACATTTTCATAGATTTAATCCAAGAGTGGAGACTCTGGCCTCAACACAGCCAGGCTAACCCAGATGGACACTTGGAAAACATGGCAATTTTACTGTGGCAACCACCAGGGACATCTCCCATCCAAAGCCCAATCAGACAAGAAAAGTAATTTTAGAGTGATGGAACAGAGGGGAAGGAGAAGTAGGAGGCAAAGAAATAGATTTAGCCACTGTTGACTTTAGACCTTCCTTTTGTGCCTGCCTTGTCCTTATGTTGTCTCTCCATGTCTCGTCGCTGTGTGTCTCTGCAGCGCTGTGTGGTGGGCAGTACTCCGGTTTAGAGGGAGTGGTGTTGTCTCCCGGTTACCCTGGCAACTACAGCAGCTCTCGAACCTGTTTGTACTCTGTGGTTGTGCCGAAGGATTATGGTAAGCCAAGGACAAGCAACATTTCAATTGTGATTCTTTGTGTGTGAGTGGGAGTATAATCTATTTGTTTTAAATGCAATTACTGTACAACCCACAATAATCTATGAAGCTCAAGGGCCTATCTATTTTTTGCTTTCTTTTCCACTTCTCAAAGCTACAAAAATGGCATTTTTTTTCTTCTGGTTGTTCTGATGGACATTTAGGCAAGAAAAACTAAATGTGAACAGAGGTATAAACTGTTCGAAGCTCCTACCCCTAGCTTATTTTTTCCACTTGTAATCAAAGTGCTGTTCCAGGGAGGTTGACTAAATCCATATTTCATTTTTTTTCAACACATAGTAAAAATCCCATAATGACTGACAGCCACATATCCATCTGACTTGTATCTGTATATTTTCATATTAGTTTGGGTGAGGAAATTAATCACCACCTTGCACACTAGGCATGAAATATGCTATAAACACACACACACACACACACACACACACACACACAC